CTTCCTGTAGTCAGCCCCTGGTCAGTTTCAGTGGCAGCAGCTGAATCTGGAGCCAGTTCCGACTTACATACAAATTCAACTTAAGAACAAACCTACAGTCCCTATATTGTACGTAACCCGGGGACTGCCTGTAGTGCCACTTCCCCACCAACACAAATCTACCCTGACATTCCTGCATATTCTGTACCCTTGCGCTACTGTGGCCAACTGTCAGCCCCTGGTCAGTTTCAGTGGCAGCAGCTGAATCTGGAGCCAGTTCCGACTTACATACAAATTCAACTTAAGAACAAACCTACAGTCCCTATATTGTACGTAACCCGGGGACTGCCTGTAGTGCCACTTCCCCACCAACACAAATCTACCCTGACATTCCTGCATATTCTGTACCCTTGCGCTACTGTGGCCAACTGTTTATCTTTGAGAGCCCATATTATCTGCATGGATTTGCTCTGTGGAATACTGACAAACTTTTAGTAGGAGCTATTGCAACAGATAATTACCAGAAAAGCAGAAAGGAGCCTGGACAATTGTCTGCTACCTTTCTCATCACTAAGTGGCCACCAGCACAGATATGCTTCCTACCTTTTGGCATTGTCCAGAAGGATAAGCATACTGGCCCCTTCATCATCCTGGAAGCTCTCGTAGTGATGTCGGTCAGCATTCCCAATCAAATAATCAAAGACGGCTGTGTCAATGATATCAAGGAGGCGGGGGCCAGAGTCATAAGGTGAGGTCTTCTTCACTGCATCACAGTAGCTCTCATCATACTCCCACCTGCAGGCAAGGGGAACCAAAGCAATGTCAATCAAGATGGCAGTTGACCGTAACCCCCAGGTGCCACTAAGGACAGACCTGAGCACTTTGCATCAAATTTAGACAACACATCAGCTGACCTTTCAAGTTTTGTTTGTAGTTGTCTTTTTCCTTATCAAAGAGAATGGTGTTTTAAAGAGCACAATGGCCATGTGTACACTATGAAAAAGGTGTGTATTAACGTGTTTTAGTTACTACAATATCTAACATGTTACCATCTTAGTATAAGAAAGGCAAATTGTTGTTTCAAGGCATCTCTCACCTATTAAATGCCTACCGTTTTCTTAGTGAAAACAAGGCCAGAGCTTTCTCACCTCACAGCCCATTATCCAACAGTGAGGTAGCAGTGATGAATTCTCAAGGCAAGAGGCTGCAAGACTTAACATCACTTGTCTCTCCAATTACTCATCCATCTGCCACCAAGCTCCTGAAGTACACTGTTTCTATTCCTACTGTCTCATTTTACTATCCTTCTATCCAACTTCTCTCTCTACCTAATCACCTAATCTTTATAGTACATAGAAGGAAATGTCAAGGTTAGAGGTACTGTGCCCTCTCCCTTTAAGGACTGGAGGTCTGTCTCCTAAGGGAACTCAAAGGGGATAATTCTGATTGTAGCAGAATTCTGGTATATTCTGAAAAGACAGAGCTGTAGTGGCGTTGCATGTTTTAAAACTCAGTTTTAAAACTCAGAGTGTAACACCTTTGACACAGTGACCCTCCTTTATCTTCTGAAAACCTCACCTGCATGCACTTCCATGATGGAATGCAGCTTCTAATCTGTCTGCTCCTTCAGAGTTTTGTTTGGAAGCACCCCTTCTCCACCACTGGTAAGCCTTCAAGGTAGCGCTCAAGTTTATTTATTTTTTTTAATTCTGCCCTTGCTAGCAGTGGGTTCTGCATGACCTATAGGATCGCACTCTTGCTACAGAGCTCTATAGTAGCCTGCACAGGGCTCTATTTCAGGGTTCTCTGCCTTCTTTCCTTTCTATATACTCATTCTCTATGCCTGGGGTCTTCAAACTCTTTCATTCTGCAGACCAATCTACAGACGTCTCTCTTACGGCACAGCTCTATTCTCAATACCCAAACCCACAGAGCTCACTTCAAGGTATTTCAGTCTTTGGACCACCAGGAAGTGCTCCATGGATAATATTTTGAGAACAGTTGCCCACCCACAGTTTCATGCTGATTTCTTAAAGAAAATGTATTTCCAGCATCTATCCACAACACTTCGTCTTCAACATCCTGCCACTGCTTCAACCTCAAAGAAGCAAAAAGGATAAAATGGCTATCCTCCTCCTTCATAATCACAGTTAACAACTCCATTCTTTTCCTAGTTACCAAGCCTTGCAACATGGGCATCATGTCCACTCTCCACAATCAATCTTGTTGTTTCTCCCTTCTCTTTCTCAAATCCATTCTTCCTCTCCACCCAAATTACTAATACCCTGATTTAGACAGCCCCGCATAGATACAAATTTTTTATCCACATCTGCCAGATGTGGATACCAATGGACATAAAGCAGATATCCACAAATTTGCAGGTTTCTAAATATAAAATTTGTATCCACATCCACATCTGCAAAAATGAACTGGGGATAGCCATATTCATGAATGCAGATGCATGTGGATATAAAGCAGATATCCATGGATTTGCAGTGCTCTATTGATTTATGCTTACTCATCTGTCATCTAGACTGGTACAGCACCTTCCATCCATGGATCAAGAAATTATTCACAAATCAAGTCTGCAAACCCCTATGAAGCTTTGAGATCCTATTTTACAAAACGTAGAGGTTAACTGACCTGCCCAAAGTCAGTGTGGGACAGCATTAGAGGCAGAATTAGAATTTAGCTGTTGTAACCATTATCAATGCTATCTCCCAGAGGAGAGGAATAAGTTCTACTCTGGCCTCCCTGTATCTCACCTATCCTCTATGTCTCCAAAATACTCCAGTGTAATGTCTTCCATCTCATTTCTCTGATCATGTGTCACACGTTCAGTCCTCAAATCATTCTCTGGCTTCTCACTTCTTCCTGTATCAAGTCCAAGCTCTATAGCCTCACTGTCAATATTCCGCACAAATCCACAGATCCTACGTCTCATCTTCTATTTCTTCCTATGGCCCATGCATACCCTGTGTGTTATTCAGTCCACTCTCTTAAATGCTACTCTGCATCTTCCTGCTGGTCTTTAACTCAATAGTTTTTACAGCAGCTCTTACTCCACTTGGAACAGCTTTTCCTTTCCTGTGCACATCCCTACATCCCTTCTTCTATCCTCCGTTTTTCAATCAAGTTACCACATTGATCTTTCAGCAGCACCATCTGCTCCTATATTTACTTCTGATAATTTGTATTTTATTAAGAGCTTGATTGTGACTCCTAAAATTACGGATCTCATCTAGGACATGGCTGTAGGTGGCCAAGGACACTTATGGCACTATATCAATAATGTTAAATGTGATTATTCAAGCCTGAACAGAAGAAGCTGCTTTGGGAGAGAAAACATATACACAAATATCTTATATAATGAGCAGCAGAGGCAGAAAGGATAGAACATATGGAACATATGTATATTTCTTCCTCTACTCCTGAAGACAGGTTTCCAAAGAGTAAAAGCCGCAATATAGTTAAGTCGATGACTAAAGAACAATGTTATTTGATCCTATCCGCATGAGCAAAAATAAAGTATTTTATAACATAAGGATTGTGGTTAGACCTGGAGCCTGTCTACAAAGTATGGTAATGAATATTATGGAAGAGGGATTTCTGAAGTGCACCAAAATGTTGCGTATTAATAGCCTGTGTAGACCCTGCTGGTGTGCTTTAACATGCTAGTGCACACAATGGAACTTATAGTGCCCACTAGCACAGTTGACAATAAATGAACAACACCTTAGTGCACTTAAAAATTGTGCTCATGTAGTGTGCATTACACCATCATGCAAACAATCTCTAGGTCTCATTCCAACATGAAAATACACAGCATGAATGGGACCTCTAAGTTGAGAAATAACTTAACAAAAGCAAAATGTTTCCTGTTCTTTTTTCCACAAATACACAGAAAAGTGCTTAAGTGCTATACTAGGACCTTCTTGGTGGCTCTAAAACTTACTTCTCACAAATCAACTAACTGTGTCAGATCAATGGTCTACCTAGCCCATTATTCTGGCTTCTGACAGTGGCCAATGCAAGACAAGATGCTAACTTTCTAGTAGTCAAGACCCATTTAAAGGCTGAAGAAGTCTAGTTGGGTATTTTAAGATACCAAAACTCTCTGACAAAGCCACCAGTTCAGATTCTTTCTATGAATAGCCAGCTAGTTAAAAGCTGATGGAAATAGCTTAATAAAAAAAAATCTAGCTCAGCAAACAGATTTCAGGTACTAAAATTGTCTTTCTGGTCACACATCTTGAGATCAACACTTGGAAAAGTTTACTGAGCTTGAAATCAGTTGGGCTCATCTTGGCAAAGTGTTTGTCTTAAAGAGTTGTTGAGATACTGTGTCTGTCTTATAGCTGTAAAGCCCGCACTTTTCCCTAATAAGTGCTCTTCAGACATGGGTCCAGATCCTTATACATGTTGCTCATATACAAACTAACAAAAAACTTTTCAGTTCTAAACTATTTAAGATTAGATGTACTTTGCAGAAAATACACAAAAAAAGCATTTTTTTAAATAGGAAAGAACTGCATCTCTGCACAAAATCTCCCTTAAAGTCACCAAAGGTACTCTGGTATGAAAGCTTTTGAGACAGGTCCACAACACAAAAAACAGAACCAATCAAAATGCATGAAATTGGGCAAAAAGGCTTCTAGCTCAATGTCACAGGATTCTGTTGAGCCAAACAGGTTCAAAATATGAAAGAAAGCCTCAACAGTGTGAGATAAGCAGCAGAGATTCTGCAGTGAACATGGATATGACTGAGATACTCACTGACTTGCGTAGCAAGTTACTTTCCAGGGAAGAAGTAGGAAAAGCAAGCCACCCAGCATTCCTGGATACCCATTGGATTTCTTACCTCCCCCTCAAATTAAAGCTTATTCCATTAGAGGCCTTCACTAGTAGATTTGGTTCAAGAAAAATGATTGAAAATTCCTTTGGATCTTATGAACACTGCTCTTTAAACAGCCCGTCACAGCTAAGTGCTGCAAAGATAATTATACAGGCAGTCACCGAGTTACGCGGATCCGACTTATGTCGGATCCACAGTTACGAACGGGGCCCTCCCTCTCCCTGGTCTCCAGTAGACCAGGGAGAGGAAGCAAAGCGGCGGAACACGCGGGCAGCGGACAGCCCAGACGCGTCTGGGCTGTCAGTTGACCGCGTGCTCCGCGGCTTTGCTCTGCTTTGCTCCCCGTCCCCCTGGTCTGCAAAGCAGGCTTTGCTCTGCTTTCCTCGGGGACTGCCTGTATAATTATCTTTGCAGCACTTAGCTGTGACGGGCTGTTTAAAGAGCAGTGTTCATAAGATCCAAAGGAATTTTCAATCATTTTTCTTGAACCAAATCTACTAGTGAAGGCCTCTAATGGAATAAGCTTTAATTTGAGGGGGAGGTAAGAAATCCAATGGGTATCCAGGAATGCTGGGTGGCTTGCTTTTCCTACTTCTTCCCTGGAAAGTAACTTGCTACGCAAGTCAGTGAGTATCTCAGTCATATCCATGTTCACTGCAGAATCTCTGCTGCTTATCTCACACTGTTGAGGCTTTCTTTCATATTTTGAACCTGTTTGGCTCAACAGAATCCTGTGACATTGAGCTAGAAGCCTTTTTGCCCAATTTCATGCATTTTGATTGGTTCTGTTTTTTGTGTTGTGGACCTGTCTCAAAAGCTTTCATACCAGAGTACCTTTGGTGACTTTAAGGGAGATTTTGTGCAGAGATGCAGTTCTTTCCTATTTAAAAAAATGCTTTTTTTGTGTATGCTGCAGTTGGCCTATGGGTTTCTTATACCTGGCCAGTTTGCCTTCACGGTAAGTCCTTCCCCAAGGATGCCGGTGCTTCTGAAGAGGCCAGACATCTGGCAGCCATAGTGTGACTGACCCCTCCATGGTGTCTCCATCAGCACAAGCTGGTTCTGTTTCTCGACAATAGTAGCACTTCCCATAGAAACATGTACTGTTACCTTCAAAACAAAAAACACATCACAAGAACAGCAGTAAATCAATGGAAGCCCAAACAAGAGAGAGCAACACCTTGAAGAACCTTTAGAGAGATGTCTACCAACAAGTCCATCAACAGGAGTTTATTTTATTTGGCCTTCTCTTCCTTTTCTCAATGGGAAACCAAAACTTCTCTTTCTTTTGGAAAGAAGTTCCACATGGAGAGAGAATCATCAGGAAATCATTCATTTTTGACAAGATGAATAGTTCACTTGAAAAGGATCCATTGACTAGACAAGGGAACGAACGAACGCACGCACACACGCACACCCCTACTGAAGAATAGTATTCAGTTTGCAAAGTCAAGCACTCAGATGTTACAAAATTCAAAAATTCCCTGTGCTCACATGCTCAGAGTAACAGACTGCATATGTGGGGTTGGGAAGGAATTTTCCTGCATGTCACATTGGCAGTGACGTGGGGGGAGTTTTTGCCTTCCCCTGCAGTATACGTGCTGCGGTCACTTGCTAGGATTATCTGGGCCTCTCCCCTTAAAGCATTTCCCTGACTCGGGCACTAATGCATCTCCCTCCCTCCTACTCTCTGTCTGTAGCACGTAACAGCCTGATTTAATTTCAGTTGTTGGGTATAGCATGAGAAGGTTGGTGACCTGTGATTACAGGAGGCCAGATTATATGATCTGGGGCTCCTTTTAGCCTTAAATTCTGTGACTAAGACATTGCACAATGAAGAGAAAATAAAATACTCAATTGTTATTGCTCATTAAGTGAGCACCAACATCCAGTGCAGTGAATGAGAGAGGGGTCTAGTGGAAAAAATAGTAGGCAATCATGTAATTAAAGGTTATATTGTATACATACATAAGGGTCAAATTAAGGTTGCATATGCATAATTAATGAGGCTTTTTTGCGCATTTTTTCAGGAAGAATGGCTCTTGCGCAAGAGGGGGTTTTTGTGCACGAAGGAGCCATTTAGACGGCTCCTTTTTGTGCAAAAGCCTCTTGCACAAAAACGGAGCCTCATTCATTATGCAAATTAGGCTCGGCAATATTCCACACAGCCTCATTTGCATATTTTTTGCGCAAAACAGGCACAGTGTAGACATAGCCTTAAAGTCTGGCAGAGTTATAAGCAACTGAAAACAGGGTCTTTTAACAGGAAGTGTCTGACAACCTTAATCCTAAAACGTGCTACCAAGTCTGCTTATAAAACATACATCAATACAATAAATTGTTAATGAACAGCTGTGTCTAAGTTTTCTGACAAAGAAATATGATACTTTATAATTTGATTAAGTACTAATAGCTGTAGCAGAGGGCATTTTCTGAGGCATAATGGCCACCTGGCAAGACTCTGCCCTTGAGTCATTTACCACACAAAAATACCCCATTAACATTACTACTAAAAACTAAAGATATGAAACTGTTCTGGGACACCTACTGATAAACATCTGATTTCTTTCTTATAATCATGTTGCTATGCCTGTTGGCACTACACAAATATCATCCATCACCATTTGGTATATTAGGAACACAGATCATTCCAGCCATCCATTCACTTTACTCAGAGTACAATATAATTCCATTTTTTAAATTCTGGTCTATCCTAAATTCTTCTTCCTGCTTCTGCTATTAGGAAGAAAATACTTATTCAAACAAATATCTGCAAAACAGAACATAAAAATGTGACAGGCGAACCAAAATATTTTTGTAGAATATTTTCCCCTTCCTTGCCCACCAAACAAGATTATACTAATAATAAATATCTCCAAAGGTTGGAAGCATTGTACCTGGTTCCTATATAGTAATTTAATTTCTACAACTATGCCAATTTCTCACTTTTTTGTGTGTGTGTTTACCATGCTTATTCTCAATGGGTTGCACAAGCCCTAGAACCCACTTACCCAGTGTCAGGAAGGTACTCAGCAACTGCTCTGTTGCAACTGGTTTGATCTCTGTACGTAGATTCACAAACCTGCCAATCACCAATGGAGCACGCCGAAAACCCAGAATTCTGGTTTGGGGAGGGAAGAGGGGTAACAAAGTATAAGAATTTGTAACAAGGCAGCAGTTTAAAAAAACAACACCACATCAGTTGTCCAAGCCACTGTGCAAATCAAAGATAATTGCATGACAGCAGGTGCTAAGCTCGGAACCTCATTAGAAATTAACCCTTCGCCATTTGTACCTCTAATCTTCTTTCAAGACAGCCAGGAGACTTTCCTTTGGTGAAGAAAGGCTAGATGTACCAGACTCCCCTTACAGAAACACTACCAGCAATGCTCCTATATTGACCTGACTGGTCACTACAGGGTAGCATTAGATGCACCTTTTCTTCAAGGGACAACTATAGTGTCTTCACAGAACTCAGCCTGGGAAATGAGACCTCAAATCACAAGTCTCTCATGTAGTGGCACAAAGCAAAAACTACAGGGCCTTGGGCTGGCCACATGAAAAGATAATTTACAGTAATCCCCGGAAACCAGCCAATAAACTCTGTCTCAGTTCAGTTAAACTTGAGAGCAAACAAGTTGGTTTGAGAGAGTGGGTGAATAAAACACAAAGACATTTAGAAATACGCAAGAGGTCAGAAAGTAAGCACAAGTCTGTCACCGAGTTCTGTTCCTGTGTCTGTTCGGCTTACTATGTGACCACAGACAATTTGGGTGCTTAGGGTGAGATTTCCAAAAGCACCTAAGTAAGCTGGAAGTATCATTCCAAGTTGTACTCCTAACTCACTTACACATGTTTGAAAGCCCCACCCTTAGCCTTTGTGTCTCAGTTGTTCCCTTTGTAAAATGGAAATACTCTAAGAGGTACTACTAATTCTTTAACATTTATAAACTGCTTTTAGCTCCTCAGACAGAAAGCCCAAAAGAAGTGCAAAGTATTATTCAAAATCGGCAAAGAAGAATGTTCATCTTAATAAATCACTCTTGAGAGATATAGGTTAGTATCCTATATTTACACTACAGCCTGGATCCATGCTCTGAGATCTATTCACCGGCAGTCAATTTAATGGGTCTAATTAAGACTAGGGAGATTAAAATGTGTTTGTAAGTGCGGGGAGCCGGCTTAAAAAAGCTGGCTCCCCATGAGTACCAGCTCCCTACTGCCTCCCCCGTGCTGCTGTCTCTGATATAGAGGCAGCAGCATGGGGGAGAGGGGCTGTGTGTAACCGTGAAAGTTAACCAATGAGCCCAGGTTCATCAATTAACCGTTTATACTTTAGCATCCCTAATTAAGACCTGCCAAATCACACACAAATAGCTCTACAGTTGATCCTCCAAAGTATAGGAGTAGTTAATTTCCCACCCCTCAGGGTGAATTACTCTGCATTTACCATCAATATACTTCATTTGTCGTCATGTTGCCCGTTCACCAACCTTGATAAGGTCCTTCTGATATGCTTCACAGACAGTCTTCTGTGGATTTGGCTAACCTAAATAGCACTATAGTAGCTGAAATAATTGCTTTCACACTGCTCACTCCCCTTCCTAGATTACTGATAAATATACTAAACTCAAGAGGTAGTACAGAACTTTTAGGCACCCTCATTCTTCACTTTTTGACAAGATGAAAATTGACACACTATTCTCTCAGTCTCTTGGTCACTTTTTGATCCATGACAAAATTTTACCTCTTACCCCATGACCTCCTTTAGCAGTCTCTGGTGAGGGATCCAATTAAAATCCTTTGAAAATCTATGTAATCTGTGCCCATCTTGTTCTCCTTTATCCATTACTTTGCTGACATGTGCAAAGCATTCTAATAAATTAGGGTGATACTATTTGCTTTTACAGAAACCTTGCTTATTGGATTCTATACTGTAATAATTTATAACATTATTTGTTCTACTCAATGAGCAGTTTGGAAATCAATGACTCAGGCACCCTCCCTGAAGTGAATTGGTGCAAAAAAATATCAAAACAAGAGAATAATTACATAGTTAACCCAATAGTTCCATACCTGTCCAAGTGAAAGGCTGCCACCTCCGCATTGTGTCTGTCATATCCAGCATATGGCTCTCCTTCTACTACATAGTCTCTGGCATATCTGTAATTGCAATGAATGATGGAAGACAATGATTGATGAGGGATTCTCCTCAGTAAAATTAAGAGCCAAATGAGCAAGAATCATATTGAAATGAAATTGGCTCTGGGTCACACCTACAAAATAATTTCTTGCAGGAGAAGAGATGAGTTTAGTGAGATTAAAGAAGGTAAAGATTAGTAGTGGTTTCTGATATTTTCTGTCTTATCTATCTACTTTCCTAATGGTTCATAACACACCCTGGGCCCCATGCCAGCAGCTCTAGTGCGACCAGGGACAAGCGCTAGCGAGTGTTGTACACCCTAGTATGAGAGCCTACAAGAGATACAGCCACGCCAGAGAAGCTGCTGGTGTGGGGTGCTTGCTCCTGGGAGAAGAGCCCACTAGACCACTGCTTTCATTGCAATAATTCCCAGTAGAGCCCACCAACTCTGTGGATATTGATTGATACCCACAGTTTCAGAATTTGTATCTGCGCAGGCTCCAGTGTTTTGACTGCCTGCTCAACCTGTTAATTCTCAAGCAGTCCTTCTATATTCAATCAGAAAGATGGTTACATGTTTACACATGGGGGAGGGAGCCAGTGCACATGGGGAGCAAGCTTTTAAGCCTGAGCCCATAGGTTAACCTTCACGGTTCTATGCAAGCCTCTCTCCCCCACCCCACCCGTGAGGGCTTGCATGTAACCACGAAGGTTAACCGATAAGCCCAGGCTTATTGGTTAACCGTGTAAACGTGTATACCAACACATCCCTATTGACAACCTGATATGGAGCTGAGGGCAGGCAACTGCTTAAAAACTTCCTGAATCCTATGTAAAGAAGGCAAGAATAAACCCCTACAGCCTTGCAAAAAAATTCCCCTCTGTATCCTCTCTCTTCTCTCATACGCTGCACACCACCACAAACTATGCGGCACTCCTAAAAACATTCCTGGATGTACATGTCCTTGATGTGTACAGCCATTCTGCCTGCCTGTACAGGGTCGTCCCATAACTGGAATGAGATTTAAAGCTTTGTGCACTGCTTTAAGGCACTCAGTTATTTTAAAGGCACTACAGAAATACAACACTACAGGATGAGCTACTGTGCAAGTTGTATCACCACCACTTCAGCGCCAAAAGTTCCAAACAAGGCGTGAATGTGGCCATTAGAGAAATGATACTAGAAATTCCAGCAGTCCACCTTTTCCCTAAGGAAAGTTAGTTTAAAAGGCATTACAGGCATATATGTCACAAAATAAACTCTATAGGAGAATGAGAAAACGTTCAACTGAGGCAGAAATGTAATTTCCCAATTGACAAATACAAGGAAGAACATAAAACACTACCTTCCACTGCTAGCACTACAGCCTTCTAGGTCTGGTTTGAGAATGATCAATTTCCACTTTTTGAAACTCCACCTCCTTCTGCCCCCATGTCTTGCTTTCCCGTAAGGCATGGGCTCCCAACCACAAGTCCACGGCCTAGTGCCCGGCTGCGAACCACTGGCTGTTGGGCATGGCACTCTGCCAGGCCACGCCCAGGGGGCAGGGCCAAAGCAGAGCAGGGTGGTGTGCAGCACCAATGGCAGGTGGACAGGGGTGTGGAGGAGGCAGTGTGGAGCCTGTGCAGCCAAGTGTCTACTGGGCCAAGGTGGAGTGGGGCAGCATGTGGCCCCGCAGGCAGGTGGACAGGGGCATGGAGGAGGCAGTGTGGAGCCGGCACAGTACGGCCCCTGGCTCCTGCAAGTGATGTCAATCAGGCAGACGCAGCGCTCCCATCAGCACTCGCATGCCAAAATTCAAGCAAGCAGAAGGGTGCGGGGAGCAGGGCAGCTGGGGGAATTCTAGAACCCGGGTTCAACCATCTGCCCGACTTGCACCTCCACCTGCCGCTAGCAGCACTCAACCAGGTTCGGCAGGCGAGAGGCAGTGGAGGCGGCTGGTTCAGGTCCCAATGAGGGAGGGGAGGGAGCCGGTCCCCAGGAGAAGGTCCCAGCCTGGTTTCTCTCTGGTGGGGAGAAAGCTCAGTGGCCGCACTATTGAGTGTGGTGCCTTGAGGAACAGGCAACCCTCCCAGTAGAGGCCTCGTGGGATTATTGGGGGCCCCCCTTACAGTGGGCTGTGGGGGACAGGATCCTTCTCTGGGTGCCTGCAGAAGGGCCTTGTTCAGTGTGGGAGTGAAGGGCCCCGCGTGCCGCACAAGTCTTCCCACACCCCCCCACAGCATGGGATGCGTAGCGAGGAAGAAGGCAATTGGTCAATTTAACCTAGTTACTAAGTTATAGCACCCCCAAGTCTTCATCTATCCCCAATCACTGGCTTTGCAAGCCCCTGTTCTTACTAATGGTTCTTTTTTCAGGGTGACATGAACCACAAAGGGCAGCAACTATGCCCAGCTTTACAAAGTTACACTGTGAAAGTCTCTATAAACAAAATTCTGACAGGTATACCAAAAAAGAGAGACATTCCTCTCATCTCAGTGTGGGTGATCTGAAAGTCGCATTTCTAAGAATAGCAAACAATACTGAGATTTATTTATTTTTTGTAAATTTAACAATTGTAAATACTGGTGAACCTGGGTTATTCTACATTTTTCTATTAAGTTCTCATTTATTTTAATACAATTTTAAGACTAAGATATAAAGTCACATTTTGCTCTGGATACAGATAACAGTCCACAAGCTATTACAACAGCACTGCTGGGTAAAATTTCTCCTCCTCCTTTCTTCAAAATACGTTAGTCTTGTCTTTCCCCTGTCCCCCACCATTTACACATGTAATTTTTTGCTTGATGAGAAACCTGTTTTAGTTGACAGAACAATCTCTATTTGAATACCATGAGGCATACTGAATAAATTCATGTAATCAAGGGAATCTTGTACTCTAGCCTCGGCCCGGCCCCGAGCTGGCGCAAAGCAGCCAGCTCCAGCTCCAGCAGCTGCCATGTGGCGGACAGCTGCCGCAGCTGAAGCTGACTGCTCGTGGCGGCTCTGAGGACTGGGGTACATATTTTGGTGGACTGGTAACATTTTATTTGCATAGTCACATTACCGATCCGCCAAAAACTTGTGAATAGGTTTGCTAGTCCGCGGTATAAAAAAGGCTGGGAACCACGGCTGTAAGGCACCCATACCATGGCAACTAGCCTCTCACTGTGGAATACAACACCACTCCTCTTCGGGTATCAGCCATCTGGCTTGCAGACAGCGATCAAACCTTCCATTGCTGAACACTGGCTTCTGGCCAACCGTGTTGATTAGGCCTCTGAACTACAGAGAGGTTGGTTTGGACATTAACGCTGAACATCTCAGGCTCAGCTGGCAGCCAAGCTGAATATTATCAGATCATCAGTATGGCTCCATTCCATCTTCTAAATACTACATTGCATCACATGCAATATGGACATATTGGTTTATAAATCAATGAATCAACAGGGAAGGGGGAAAAAAATCTAGAAAGCTGTTTTAGCCAGTCACTGATGGGAATAATTACCTCTTAGGTTTGAAGACCACTTTCTGTCCCCCTTCAAGTATTAGCAAAGCTTTCAGCTGGGTCCCTTTGTAGCCCACATCTGCTTTTATAATTTTCTTGGTAGCCATGGCATGCATAACAGCCCCTAGCTCTGGTGTCTCCTCAGGGTACACTTCCCGTGGTACCACCCACTGGGCAGCAATCTCCCAAGGGGACTGCAGCGTATGATCAAGTCGCGGATCTAGCTCCACTCGTAGACTTGCCATCATGCGGTGAAAGGCACGCTGATCCTCCCGGTTGGCAGCTGAAGTGTCCAAGTTGTCAATGAGGAAAACTTTTGTGAAAATGAAGATGACAAGGAGAATGGCCAGCAGCACCACTCGCTGCTTTAACTTCATGGTGACCTTCAACCTTTTCCCCTGACCCTCTCCTTCCAAGGGCTATAGGAAGTCTATTAGAGATCAGGGTGAGGAGGAGGATATCAATGCATTTCATTCATAACTTTCACTCTTGTGGACCTATCCTTACTGACGCATCTTCTGGTACTCCTACAAATTAAGAATAATAAAAAAAATTACTTCACAGGTACATATTTCTCCAGTACCATCAACTCCAAAGCTGTTTTACTAAGCACGTTAAAGAGTTGCTGCCCTTGCACCTTGTCCCAAAATTTCCTGTGAATTTTTGTGATTTCACAATCCCATTTTCCTCTTACGTAAATACTCCACTGTCACTGTGTGAACAACCCTACGCCGCCTCCCCTCCCCCCCCCACACGGGAAATGGACTGATACTGTTGAACCAAAGTTTTTATATATGCCTGCCAAATATAGGAGAAAAAAAAATCTTTTATTGCACTTACAAGTAACAATTGAAATTATTGTAACTACAGAGGAGGGAGGAACACTTGGAAAGAATTATCACAATTTATAGCAGAAAAAACATGTTTAAAAAAAAATCTATGGTCCCTATATCAGCTCCAATTTTTCCGCACTGCCCCAAAGAAAAATCAGAAGCATGACATCTATTCCAGTGTATTAAATCCATCTTTCATAAAAGGCTGCAAATGTGATGGCCAAAACATTTCCAGAACAAAACAAACAGAGAAGATATAAATAATAGACAATCAATAGCCTCACAGACACAATGGAAGAAAAAACCCACCACCTTGTTCTGAAACCTCAGCTAGGAGCAACTATGCTGTGGCACATCTGTGTCTTCATATTTAAGACAGATGCAAGACATCTCCCTATTCAATGAGTCCCTGCTGATAAATCGTTGTCAATTAAGGCCCATCTAATGAGCAGTTAATCAAATCTAGTTAAATTAAGTCAGGAAAAGAATATTCCTACATTATTAATTAAACAAACCAGAACGCAAATGAGAACTGACACTACATCACCATCACTGTGGGACACTTCTGGAGCTAACAGCAACTGCACATAGAAAATGTGAACTAAATTCTTCAAAATGGCCACGAACTGCATCTTGAGCTATAGTAGGACTAAGCAATCAATAAATGGATAAGGCAGTAGTTACTTATTTAAGAAATAAGTAATATGTTGGCACTTGCTTAGTTATTTTATTAATCTACAACACAAGGGCAGCCAAGCGCATCCCACTGGCCAAATGCAGATTACAGCCACCCTCATCTTCAGCATGAAAGTTGTGGCCTAACTGCTCAGATTAGGATGGAGTGAGGAGGCCCAGTAAGAGTTTGCAGGCCATAAACCCAGCCTTGAAGAGAGGAGGGTAGCTGCAAATCTTCTTTGTTCTAATTAGAAAGATATCCTTGGGCTCCTAGCAAGTCACCACTGCTATCCTCAGCAAGGCATAATAGGAGCACTCCCTGTATAAAATATTCATGTCAGATTAACAATGTAAAATGGGAGACCACCTACTGATGCACTTCTAAACCAAATTACAAAGTTAGTGTTACAAGCAGTTCCACAGTTCCAAAAGAGCTCAATATTTTGAAACTGACTCCTTTAATGCACAGCATAAGAAACAGTAACTTTAGCCCCATCATTTCCAGTTTGTCTCATTCCTGATTGTGCTCATTTCTGGTTATACATCTTGCTTCTCAAACACTTTTAACAGTCTCATTTGCAGATCTTAGTATATAAACAATGTCATTATAAAGGCAGCTTGCATGCAGCTCACATGTGAATAATTTATTTAATGTGATTAGTCATTCTCCACACCAAAGTCCATGAACTAAAAAGGAGGCCAAGTGCCCGTGCTGGCACTATAGATATCTTATCTACATAATACTTATCTGATCTGTTAGTTATATAAAGCACCTCTATTGGTATTGAGCGGAAATGAGTCAGGAAGTTCACAAAGAACTAAATTAATTAGGAATTTTAGTTTATCTAGAAAGAGCAGGATTTCTCTACACAGAATGTTTGGGATATACAGGTCCACAATGGGAATCAGCAGTACTGATAGCAAACATTCATCTGACTAAAAAGGCCACTCTCCAGTGTTGGATACCGGGATTATTTTCACTGATACCATTAGGTCAAATATAGTATACTTGAGTTGCTGGGCTCAAACTAGTTGGAGTGACCACACTGCAGAACACCAGTCAAAGGACACAGAGTGATTAGATTAACAGGTGATGAGTTGTAATCAGGTGTTGTATCCTCCTTGCATTACACTCCTAGTGCTTCAGCAGAACTTGAGCTCCAATCACCCCTCCACTTCCAGCTAACTAGCTCAAACTTAAAACACCACTTAATTTGAGCTAGAGATTTGTGGATGGATGGGAGTCAGGTTAGGCCCTCAATCTAACATTGCCGTGAATACAGCTTCCCAAGACATTAGCATGCTCATCTTGAACTTAACAAAAAAAGACCAAGCAGATTAATATGAATGCAATTTTACCTTTAAACTCACCATGTTTTCTGTCTTTATTTCACTTCATTTTAAATATAACTACTATAGGAGCTTTCTTTCTTTTTGTTTCCTTTTTAAAAGTATCTCATAAGTTTATGAGAATTGACACTGGACCCTACAGACCATGTCAGAACCATTATCTATAATGAAAACACTTAGGCTTTATTTATCCAAATACTGGACAGATTAAAGCACTTGGTGAAAGAGTGAGAGACTCTAAAATCGAAGCACTTGTGTATAAGAGGCATGATTCTTTGGAATGCTGTGCAACCACAGATTCCTTTGAGTTACATGGGAGCTGGTGGTATTAAAAAACGTTTAAAAATCAGCCCACTTATTCAGGCACCTACGCTGCCCTTCACTGGTATCTCCCTTCTCTCCAAGCCTACTGTGTGTATTAATTGGTATTCAATAAAAACATACTCTGTGAAAGATAGCCATTCTTTATTGGTCTCCTACGCACGGTGATTGCTGTTGGAGTTAATACACAGCAGCAATCTGATCATCTGCTGAGAAATCATGGTCAAGAATCATCAAAATTTGAATGAAAGGCAGCAAGTTAAGAAAGCAGGACAGAATGCTGTAACACACGACTGGATTTCGTTGTCAAAATGGTGCCTCAAAGACTCCCTGATTTGAACTGTTCCCCACTGTGCTCTTCTACTAGCCCTGGTATCTGGCTGCTCAAAAATCAGCTGCCAGGTGATCCACCTCCATGCTCCACCACAGGGGAAACTTTTCACCCTTCACCTCACAAATATTATGAAACACACAGCAGGGTGCTATGAAATTGTGAATATTTTCCTCACATAGCTCACAACTGCCATAAAGACAGCCCAGTGGGCTTTTAATTTGCCAAACGCATAGTCTAAGATCATTCTGCACCTGCTCAGCTTATTGTTAAGGCGCTCCTTGCTGCTGTCCAAGTTTCCCATATAAGGTTTCATGAGCCCCAGAAGTAAGGGGCATTCTGCATCTCCCAAGGTCAGTATAGGCATTTCAACAACCCCAATTTGAATCTTCAGGCCTGGAAAAAGTGTCTCTGCTTGCAGCTTTCTGCACAGCCCAGCATTTCTGAAGATGCACCTTCCCAAATCACTAATAAAGTGACCACAGATATCCACAAATGCCTGCAATACTGAAGAGGTACTCTTTTCTATTGATGTACTCTGTCACAAGATGGTCCGGGGCCAAAACTGGGATAGAAGTGCCATCCATCACCTTGCTAAGTTAGGGAACCCAACTGCCACAAATCCATCCACTGTTTCACGCACACTGCCAAGACTGATAGCCTTTCCTAGCAGGATACAATTAATGGCCCTGCTTTCTTACATTAATGCTGTCCCAATGATGAACTTTGACTCTCAATTCATTTGCAACCGACCAGTAGCAAATTGGAGTCACCACTTTGCTTCTTCATGGAGAGGGCAGCTCTCATTTTGGGGCCCTTGTTTTGCAGTTCCAGGAAGATGACTTTCATATCTGAAAGTTCTAGAGCCACTGTTCGTCACCCCAGACATGCATAAGTGTGATCCCACCCACCATTCTGTGCTTGTTTCCTGAGTCCAAAAGAGACAGTCCTTCACATCCAGCTGCTCCATGAATGCCAAAAATCAATCTGGTGTTGTATCTTTCCATGGCTCAACGCAGGTTTGGCACCTCTGTGTTCAGATGGGGTGTTCATGTTATACTGCATGACCAGTTGTCATATGTTCATCACAGTGACCACAACAGCAGAGAGCAGAGCAAAATCCATCCTTTCAGATAGAAGTGGCAGGTGCACAGTAAACGGAGACTGCTGAAAAATGCTACAACACACAATCTGAAGCCCAAATAACAGGATAGAAAAAATGAATCATGGGACGTTAAACCCACACCATGATGTGCTGTGATTTATTCTGCCTTCCCAGAACACCTTGCTACAGGAGGTGGTGAGTTGCACAATGGGATATCATGCATAGTGTACTGCTTTCTCTGTCGATGCTAAAATGCAAATTGTGGATGCATTCTGCTGACACAAGCATTGTAAGACCATGGCTCAAGCTATGTAATCATACCAGTTTTTGATAATTGGCTTAACTTTTGTTGAGAAAACTCTGTAGCGCATACCAGGTCTGAGAAGTCCTTTCACTCTCTGTTCTTATCTCTAGTAACCATGCTTATTAAACAAAAGGCACAGTTCAAGAGTTCTGTTACCCAAGTAAACTCCATTTATACACCCCAGGAAGAAAAGAATCACCCTCCTCACGTGTTATCACATCATCATGCCTCAGAAAAACAAATTAAATATTTGAAAATAAAAACAATGCCAGGTTTCTAATACTGCTTTTTACGACATTCCCATAGATATTTTCTAATGGATTTCAACTCTGCTTCTAGACAGTTCCACATTATTTGTAACTACCAACCCTTCCTACACCCCATGCCTGTATTATAGCACTTTTAAAACACCAAAGCACATTCATTATTCACACAAACTTTGACTAAAGTTAAAAACAACAAATAGTCTAGTAGCACCCTAAATACTAACAAAACATGATGCTACTAGACTACTTGTTGTTTAAGTTTTTCCTGTTACAGACTAACTCGGCTACCCCTCTGAAGTTTTTGACTAAGGAATTCCCCCTCATTTATCAAATAAAAACATA